CCTCCCGCATCCCTGCCAGCTCCTGAAGCCGTGTTTGGCAGCAACCTGCTCGCTCATCCTCCGGCGGGACCCAGTGCCCGGTTAGCTGCAGCTACTTCATTTTTCTCCTTCTTCCCCCTCCTCCAGGGACTGGCAGCCTCACAGCCGCGGTGGAAACTGCTTCAGGCCGCAAGGCACTGGTGGTGGGGAAGCCGAACACGTACATGTTTGATTGCATCGTGGAGCGTTTTGGCGTTGACCCATCCCGCACCCTTATGGTGGGAGACCGTCTGGAGACAGACATCCTCTTCGGCAAGAACTGCGGCCTCTCCACCATCCTCACCCTGACAGGTGTCTCCCGCCTAGAAGAGGCGCAGGCCTACATGGCCAGCGACAGTGCTGCTGCCAAGGATCTGGTGCCCAATTATTATGTGGACAGCATTGCAGACTTGATACCGGGCCTGGATGAGTAGCAGTGTGTACCTGTGAGGGCAGAGGGGTCAGGTTCCCCATCCCAGATCTCTGTCTGTTCCCATTTCTCTCTCTGTGCCCTATTCCCTCAATTCCTGGTTTCTTCACATTCCAACGCCCTTCTTTGGGGGCAAAAAGAGGGGGGTTGGCAGGAGGGGGCAGGGTTCAAGTTGTCTCCTTTTCTGCCAAGAGCTATCCGTGATGGACAGAGTCCTTCTCTCCCTCATATGCCAGCTGCCAGCGTCTCTGGGAGAGAACTGGAGGCTGATGGGGGTCAAATAGTGTGTCTGTGTAGCCTCTTACCCGTGCAGGGGTTAGGGACCAGCTGTCTTATTTTTCTCTTAGATAACCAGTGGCGGCCTTTTACTGCTGTCCCTTTGCTCACGTAACTCTCCACTTCTGAGCTGCATCCCTGCAGTCCTTGTGGTAACCCCCTCCTTGCCAGAGGACTGGCTGGTGGTGTCACCCACCTGGTCTCCATTGGTGCCAGGGTGTGTGGAAGGAGCACACCAGGGCTCTGGAGCGATGAATGAGAGCATCTCTGCCTCCCGCAAGTGAAAAGGAGCATTGCCTCATCTCTTTCCCCTGTTCCTTGGAGATGTTTTCCCCCACCACCCCCTGCCCCGACTCAGTTAATAACTGTTCCAGTGTCCATCTGAAGGACTATAGAAAGGGAAGAGACAGGCTTGAGGGTTTTTTTTGGTGCCAAACAGACAAGCTGTGACTGCGCACAGTGGGTCTGCAGTTGTACCTTGTTTTCAAGCACCCTTTCCAAAGGGGCTTGTTGAAGGAGAGAGGGCTCCCAGACCACAACAGCACAGCAGTAGTGAACTGTACGACTCTTCTCCAGTTCCCCCTCCTCAGTGGATTTTGATATAGTACAGTGAGAAAAAAGGTCTGATGGGGGTCTGTAGTCCAGCTGCTGGCGTGCAGGTGAGATGGTAGTGGTATTGTCACTGCTGTGAATGTGTCGCAGCCCTCAAAATCATTCCTTGCTGCTTTGTCTTTCAGTGTTTTTTTTTTTTAATTTCTTGATCTTATTTATCAAACTTATTTATTGTTCAAATACTGTATTATTTGTATAAACTATGCTGACTGGTTGCACCAAGGGGACAGGGGGAAGTGCCTTTGGGCCTCCCTTACTGTCCATGTCCCATGTTGATGTTCTTACACTCACCATGTCTCTGTATACAATAAAGTGTGAGCGTAGGCTGGAAATGGCCTCCTTTTTTCACCTGTGGTCCCATCAAGATGAAAATGGCCTGGGTATCTTTGAGACCTTGAAGATGAGGACATGGCAAGAGCTTTCCTCACTGAAGGGGGTGCTGCTGGGTAGAAAGAGGGATGGGCAATGTCTTGTGTACAGTGTCTGCACGCTGCTCTTTGCTGCTGTCTCTTACGGTGTTCTCAGAAATGGAGTTGAGGGTGGAGGCGGCCAGTGGGGCTGTGGTGTAGGGCGTGGGATCCAGCCAGGTGAATTGGAGCAGTGAGCAATGCGATCTTTGCAGGGTGCCTTTGCATTTCACAGCATGGGTGATTCCTGGCTGGGGAACAGTGACCACTTGTTGCTGTGGCTGAGGTCTGATACTCAGGTGGGCCCTGACACAGCAGTGCCCAGCCCTCTGGGGGTAGGGGTGAGGTGCAACCTGTCACCCGCTCAAGCTTGCAGAGGGCTGAGAACTGCCCTGGTAAGGTTTTACTGTGATCCTTCTTGTCTATGCTAAGCTGTGAGTGGAGGGGAGGTGGGTGTCACTGTACCCCTGGAGTGACCCACACCAGACTGTAGCTTGCCATGCCCCATGCCCTCTCCCAGAGTTTGGCTGTGGTCTCAGGCCAGAGGGAGAAAACAGACTGGGTAAGAAAAGCATTTGAAATTGCTTGAAGGTACTTTGCCTCCCTTCCTCATACAGGAGATAAATCCTTCAACCCCTTTAACAGCTGTTGGTGGTAACCAAACATCACATCTCGCGCTTGAGAGGTCAGCTGTTCAGCTGAATAACCAGCCTCAGTGTAAGTTAATGCTATGTCAGCTCATGTGGCAGATCTAGATGCAACTCACTGGCCCTAGGATAATTCCAGGTGCTGAGTGTCTTTCCCTCCCCCCCTCCAAAATAACTTAGGAAATGGCCCTCCAAAACAAAAGAACATCCAAAGAGCTCTCTAAAGACTGCCTGTCATCTCAATCAGTCCCCTTTGTATGCGTCTGTCTCTCCCTTTTGTCTGTCCTGTCTCCAATTAGACAACCAGAGGACTACTACTCCCTCAATGAGTGCCTGACCAACACTTGCATCATCGAGCAGAGGCAAGATCAAGACCTAATGTGTCTGCTAAGGCTGGCTGCCTAATTAGAGATACCCCGACCCTGACTTATTTTTCAGTTCTTGTATCAGCCTGAAACTCAAGAGTGCTGCTGTTGTGACTCGGGGCCACAGCTGGGAATGCTCAGTACGGCTGAAAATTGCATAAGGCTGAGTTGGTTACACGTGTGTGTACAGAGGAGATAGTGCACAGCAAGAGCATCCCTGGGAGATGCCCCACTTTTTTTTAGGGTGCTTTGAGGGTGAGTCCTTCTCGTACTCTCTGCCTTGTTTGCTCTGTCCTCTCCAGCTCTCCCAGCTGGCAGACAGGAGTTTGGAGGCTGTGATCTCCCAGGCTGGAACACCAGGAAACAGAAGGCAATCCAGTAGCTAATCAGATCACAACAGCCTGTGTTTGGGCCCTCTCCAAAGAGACTTTGGAGTTTGTCCTTTGGATCCCAAATGGTGAGCCTGCAGAGTAGGCTTCCTTTTTCACATAGCTGCTGCTAAAAATGGAGGTCAGCAGGGGCGATGGCTGATCCTTATCTCTTATGACCATGTAACTTCTTTTGATCTGATGCACCTCTCCCTGAAAGCTTTGTTGTGAAGCAGAGGTGGACTTGGAGCAGAAGGGGAATTGGCTTTACCTGGCCTTCCCTTGGTTCCTCATGTAGCTGAGAGCACCAGGCAGGGGTGACCTGTGTTCTGTAAATGCTTCCTCTCCCCAGTGATGGAAGCAGAGGGACAAGTGCTGCCTCTAGCCACAGGGCTTCTCTTGCTTTGAATGGGGCTGAGAGCAGCACTATAGGGGTCCATCAGGTCTGCTAGGCTTTGGTTTTGTGTGACTTCCCTCTGCTACTATTGCTCCTGCATGTAATGAAGGTGAGTGCGAGCAGATCTTATTACAAAACTAGACTGGAAGTGTCCCTGAGGGACGATGAGCTTTCCATCCAGGCCCTTCAGACTCTGTTCAACCACTGACGCTAAGGGGTCTGTGGTCCTCATGGGGGTCAGGCCTTGGTTCCCTCTGGGGTGGGCCTGTTGGGGCTGCAGACCACATCTACTGTTGAAACTGAAAAAAGTGATGGCTCCTGCCTGGGTAGGCTGATTTCTTCTTGTCTAAAGCAGTTTTTCTTCTCGCATTGAGTGTTCAGGGAAGCAGTGCAGTTGCCAGGGAGCCCAGGGCTGTGGAGAGTGGAGCTGCGGCAGCACATGGGAGGGCGCAGCCGATGGGAAGCCCAGCTTGGTGTAGTGTAGGGGAGGGGAATTATTTTCTCACCTTCAGAAAACGGCATCGTCGTTTCCTGCCACGCAGTAGAGACAACACCCAGGCGGGTGGCAGTTGTTCCGTTACCCCAGGAACCTCCTATCCTTCATCTGTGAGTGAGGTTACTGTGGCAACCTCTGGCTGGATGCTGGATGATGTAAGCAGCAACCTGCCAAGCATCACCCGCTCTGGGCAAGGCCCGGGGAGAGGCTAGGGATGCCTCTGTTCCCCTGGTTGGGGAGAGGCAACTTCATCGTGCCCCTCAGACTCCAGCCATCCTTGGGCATGGACGGGTGGAAGAGGCAGAGAGCTGCAAGAAGTCTCTCTGGGCTCTTGGGAGCATGGGGCAATGCGGAAAAGGGTTGGATATATAAGTAGGTGAGCCCACTTCCATAGGAAACAACCCCTTGAGCCAGAGTGGACCGAGCTATACTGCTCCTGTTTGCGTGCGGCATTCATGATTTGATGGCAGGTAACCTGGAAACAGTCTGTGTGTGCTCCTCCATGGCTGGCTGCTGCTCTCCTCTACTGCTTTGGACTGCTCTCACTCACCTGACTTCTAAGGTGCTGAGGCTTTGGCAACCTGATGTCACCTAGTTTGAATTGTTCTTCATCATGCTACTTTCCTGGGATCAGCATGTTAACAGGTGCTTCCTGTGTTCTTTCTCAAGCATACTGCTCTCTTCCCTTTCAGAGAATCACAGAATGGTTGACGTTGGAAGGGACTTCTGGAGGACATCTGGTCCAACCTCCCCTGCTCAAGCACGGTTCCCTGTATCAGCAGCCCAGGACCATGTCCAGGTGGCTTTTGACTGTCTCCAAGGATGGAGATTCCACAACCTCTCTGGGCAGCTGGGCCAGTGCTCTGTCACCCTCAGTAAAAAAATGTCTCCTGATGTTCAGAGGGAACCTCCTGTATTCCAGTTTGTGCCCATTGCCTCTGGTCCTATTGCTGGGAACCACTGAGAAGAGCCTGGCTCCATCTTTTTTGCACCCTCCCTTCAGGTATTTATACACATTGATAAGGTCCCCCCTGAGCCTTCTCTTTTCCAGGCTGAACAGCCCAGCTCCCAGCTTTTCCTTGTAGAAGAGATGCTCCAGTCCCTTAATCATCTTCATGACCCTTCCCTGGACTTTCTCCAGTATGCTCCTGTCTCTCTTGTACTGGGGAGCCCAGAACTGGGCACAACACTCCAGGTGTGGCCTCACTAGTGCTAAATAGAGGGGAAAGATCACCTCCCTCGATGTGCTGGCAACACTCATCCTCAGGCAGCCCAGGAAACTGGTTAGCCTCCTTTGCTGCAAGGGCACATTGCTGGCTCATGTTCAACCTGGTGTCCAACAGGACCCCATGTCCTCATCTGCCAAGCTGCTTTCCAGCCCGGTGGCTCCTGGCATATACTGGTGCCTGGGGTTATTCCTCCCCAGCTGCAGGACT